TTGGACATAAATATTCTTACTCATACCAAAAACTGGCTAAATTGTGTTTTTTAATGCAGCAAATAACTCTCAAAACGCGTTAAGTAGTCAGAATATATGTTTCGTTGTTCATTGGAACCGAAAAATTGGTTGATGGCAAAACCTTTGTTGCCCGCCCTTGTGTCCAACTGAGGCCAATGCTAGCGCTTAAAACATTCAAGATATTTTCTCCAGCTAGCGCTTAAAACATTCAAGATATTTTCTCCAAAATTAATATTCGCAGATCGATTTGAAGGAACTCTACCCCCTGTGAGTTTGAAATGGATATTTTGATTATACATTAAACTTCAACATTTTAATTTCTTGTCTCAATTTTTTAAAATTATCTTTTCCCTATGATAGACAAAAGGACGCTTAAAAAAGCTGCAGGTATCATTATCGCTGAAATTTTTGTGTCTAATTACAGTCAGTCTTCACAACTTAGCAATGTATAAATCTACTAAGATTTAATGTAAATTTTTTTTTCATAAATTATACCGAATTTTGTTTTAAACAGCCACGAATGTTCTTCACCGACAGCCAAGAAACATCTTTGAAATTTCTTAAATTCCACGGAACACGTGAAAAATTCATTGAATAATTGATTTTTTAAACAAATATCACAACAGAAACAACAATTATTCAATGCTTCCTAAAACTAGGTGATGTAACAGAACATGCTTTCTGACATTATTGTCTGTCCTACTAACAACTCAGCTGTAACCTGAAACCGTTAAATTCAACCAATTCAAACGAAGCGACTGTCGTGCACATCTTCATCTATTTCAATTTTTTATATAGTCAGAAACAATGGTCATTTCTAACGTTTACAAATGAAACCTTGGTGAATAAATTCAGCTTTTACAACTTTTGCAATACAATACATAAAAATGTAAGAATAATTTCACACTAGCTTGCCTTGATTGCACTTCCAATTTTTGAATATCATAAGTAGCAATGAAAACTTTCTAAACTAGAAGAAGCCTATCTATTACCGTGGCCTATCTGCTGTTCTAAGTTAAAATTATTGCCTTCTTTAAATCTAATTCCTTCGATACAAATATTATGTACATCGTACTATCATCATGTCTGACAATAATGAGAATCTGAATAATTTGAAACTGCGATGATGCCATTTTGATAACTGACAGAGTCAAATGAAGTGTGAGAAATTCGAATTTATGATTTCCAAGTGTGAATTATTGAAGAGCTTTGGAAATTAATAACGTGTCGAAAAAACATTCGTGGCAAAAATTAAAAGCGTTTGTGTTATATGATAGCTACTTAGTTGTCTGGAAGTGTTTGTAACACATTTCTGCTTGCACTCTCTATAGAAAAAAAGTTCAAAAAATGAGGAATGAAGGTGAAATTGTCCTTATATTTGTGGAATTTAACTTGTTGAGGGACTTAACATTTTAAGAACGCCAGTGAATACGGAGAAATCCAGAACTGTGAGTAATGTTAGAGAACCGAAGCACATGCGTATTCGATTTGCACATTACGTTTTTAAGCGTTCAATTACGGGGAAAGAATCAAATCTGATCGTGGAATAATTTGTGTCAGAATTTTTGAAACTAATTGAGAATGATCGACAAGAATGCTGAAAGATATAGCTATGCAATACACGAAGATTAATTTTCATCACATGAAAAATCGTTTAAATCAGTTTACAGCGTCGGGGACGTCTCATTCAACTAGAGTATTAGGCATTTCAGGGATAATGAACAAGAATTAGTAGGAGAATATTCTTTGATCTTAGTACACAAGCTTTGCTACCGGCCGATGCCCGCCGTCCGGAACGGACAGGCAGACGCTGTGCAGCAGCAATTCCTCCACCCGAGGCCGTTGGTTTTCCTATCGGCCTAGATGTAGGGGAATCACTGTGGGCGGCATTACCCCTCTCCCCTGCACTACCCTCGCTCCACATGAAGCACCGTGCCCGCTACAACATTTTTTTATTCTGTTTATTTACAATCTGTTTTCTTAACAAACATTCAGTAAATGTGTTAATTATGCATTAATTGAAGCTAGAGTACATCGTTATGTGGGTTGTTTGAAACGGAATAGTAATTCCAGAATATGGTATATTTTCAGTCGGTGTTCTTCCCTACTATTATCCAGTAGATTGATGGCTGATGGATTTGGATGTTTGGCTAACCACTCTTGGTAGGTGGTGCTAAGCTGAGTGATTTCTTCATATATTGTAGGTATCTTAAGGTCTCGACGTAGTGTTTCATTCGTTACGTACGCTACAACATAACGGGCGTGACGCATGTTCATCAAGCTTATATTTATTTATTTAATCACCCACAACAGAGAAACGCCCCAATTACAGTAGGTATAACAAGAAGAAAAAATAAGAAAATCATTTTCAAATGAAATCACAAAAGTAAATCACAGAAATCCAATCACCAGAATACACGTTTTTACAAAAACTGATAAAATGTAACACACCAGTAAGATAAACAAATATGCAAGCATTATATTTTCAAAACAGTCATTACAATAAAAATAAATGAATAAAAAATACAACAAAATGAGCGCACAATATTACAAAAATGGAAAACGCATCTTCAAAATAAACAGGACATAATAGCGAACAATAATTAAAATAATATATCTACATTTAGTGATCATTCAATATTTTATTTAAATTTTGTTTACGTTTTAGAAAAGAAAATCTGAAGTCTTAATCACACACCCTACTCAATGCATTGAATTTAGAAGATATTCTCAAAAGTGGTGAATGTTTTTGCGATGTTGTATTTGGTTTGTTAAAAGATTCTAATTCCCGTTCTCTTAAATATGGTACTTGTGCATTAAATGCCAGTTGTGACAGCAAATTTACTGTTTTCTGATAGACCATTCACTATTTTAAATAAACACAATTCTTCAGCTGTATTGTATTCTTTAGACATCTCGCACCTGAAGAAGACAAAGGATCTGACATAGATTGTAGCAAACAATCTGGCACACCGATTATAGAATCTTGCCATTGCTTGTTAACTCTAGCTCTACGGGTTAGTTGCGATATTCTTAATCGATCGAATGCAGGAGAAGGAGAATTGAGATAAGCGGTGTTTCAATTCAACGAGATATACAATCGACGCGTGTCTTGTTCATCAAGTCGAATATTAGGTATTTTAGGGAAATGGGACAAGACGTCCTCGTAGAATACCCTTTGATCTCAGTAGCCATGCTTTGCTTCCGCCCGTTGACCGCCATCGCAAACGGACAGGCCCGCGCACAAGACAGCGGCAGTTTCTTCTTCTTCTGGTCATTGATATTCTTCGACCCGTCCAGACGTAGGGTAATCGCTATGGACGGCATTATCCCACTCTCACGCATTACCCTCGCTCCACATGCATCTCCGGGCCACGTACAACACAATCGGCACATCTTATGCTTATCAGGCTTCAATTGAATCCTTTAGAAACATTGCACCAGAAGAAGTCTTGGGATACTTTTTGACCATAGAATCGAGGGTTAGTGGTTTTCGTGGCTTCGATCGTATGCGGGAGAAGGAGAAATGAGGGAAAAGGTATTTCAGTCCACGCACCGCGCAACGAGCGATTCAACCAGCGTGTCGCATGCGCATTGAACAAGAAGCCCTAGTAGAATGGCCTTTGATCTTAGTGACCCATGCCGTGCCACCGTCCGACGCCGCCATCGCGAACGGACCGGCGGCGGACGCGGGTCGGCGGTAGCTGCTCCTTCCGCAGGTCGTTGGCACGTCCTATCGCCGGCGATGCGAAGGCCGCGCGGCCGTTAACGACGTGTCGGGCGCGACTGAGGAGGCGATCCGTGCGCCCCCCACCCCGCGCCGTCGATCTGGCACTCGTCCAAATCTCCCGGAAGGCTGGACACGCCGAGGAAAACACCCGCGCCCGGCCCTTTGTGACATTTCCGATGCGCTGGTCATTTTATTGCGAGGATTTCGAGTGGGCCGTATCTTGGGTAACAAAAACGCGATTACTGCCTTTGCGAACTGGACGAGAATTTAGGGATGTGATCGTGAGATTGTAAAGAACCGGGCAATAGTGGCTGAGTGTCTTTTGTGAAAGGATTGTTTTGCCAAAATTTGTTCACGTATTTTAGCATTCCACGAACGATTGCAACAAATCACAGTTTTACGAAGGTAAGTAAAATCATGGAAAATAACTGGAGATTTAAGATTGGAAAACGTAAATGGTTTGCAAAGAAAACTACATTAATGAAAAAATGTAAAATGTGCTGAGAGTTTTGTAAAGTATTTCTTTTACAATTAAATGTATCTTATTGGAAAAACATCTCAATTACACACAATTAATTTGAAACATATGTTAGACAAATATAATTCAAGCAATAACTGCAGATTCTAAAAATGGAAAACGTAAATGTTTTGTAAAGAAAACGTCATTAATTGAAAATAAATTATTTGTTTTAAAATCAATAGCATAACTTTGGTCCAATATCTTCATTACATACAATTAATTTGTAACATAAGTATTAGACAAAAAACATTCAAACATGTGACTAAATACCTAAATACTAAAAAGTGTATATTTAAGTAGAAAATCCTCCCCCTAATAATATACTTTACTCCTCGGAACGCTCTCTGTATAGGATATAAGGACATTCGATAAAATATATGACAATACTACCATCTTCTCCATATCGTTTATATTTACTGCACGTATTACAATGTGGGTGTATAAGTAACGCTGTACCATAGAGACATATCTTCTTGACACTGTGACGAGAATTGTGGGATTGAATCATCTATTTTCTTTTTTTATCAGAATGATTTAACGGGAAATAGTGTTATCTAGAGATGAGCTTACATGCTATATATTACATCTATTCTTAGGATATTGGGTTAACTCATATACAACAATGATATAGTAAACATACTTCGATTAAATTAACAACATAACACAAGTTGAAAGACTGTTTAAATAATATTTTCAAAAACCTTTAGAAATGATAAGAAATGTGTTTACCTTCTTTTTGCTCCTTTACATGGCTAGACTTGGTGAGAGATTGAAGTAGTAGTAGATTCAAGGCTTCCGCGGCCAGAGTCACTCGGACAGCCCAGATCAGCCACTTGGTGAGAGATTGGAATGGGCATCATAAAATGGACACCACATTCAACTTCCTCATAATGTTTCAATGAGTCTGAAAACGAAAACAAACAAAAATATATTAATCGCGGCAAGAAGCGGACTAACATCTTTGTCGCTTTATAGGCACGAGAAAATTGTCGCCAATTTTTTCCATATAATCCAAGAAAAGTGAGGTATAATAATAAGCATAATTTAAGTTAAAAATGGACAGACATATTTTTGACTAAAATTCAATTTCATTTCATTAATAATTTATGCGTTACTTCCATATTTTACAGGAAATCAATTAATTTTAAATTACATTTTTTGATGTATAGAAATAACAAATTCATCATGTTTTTTGTAGTTACGCATATTTATCAGTGTATTGTTTTACTACCTTTAATTCACAAAATTACCTAGACGTTTACATTTAACACTATCAAATATGAACGAAATAAGACATCTTTAAACAGACGATCAAAATTGCGTGTAATTAAGTACGTGTATTTGTTTAAATTCATAATAGGAATAATTTTATCGATGAACGTCGTAAAATGAAAACTCTTTCGGTTATTATAATTAAATATAAATTGTTTGACGACTGAAAATGTAAACATCGCTTATTTTGACTTATCAGAAGTAATAGAGTAAAAGGTATATTCGGCCTGTTATAAAATTAATTTTCGAGTATTTAATTATTGTGCTAAAAAATTTAAAAAAAGGTTAAAATATCGCACGCGACGAAGAAGAGACTCTTTTTGACACAATTTTGACCTCAAATTTTTTCCGCCACTAACATTTTCTCGCCGTAGGCACGTGCCTTGTGCACCTTGGCGTAAATCTGATGCCCCTGATCGCAGCAGAGCAGAATGCCCCACAAAACGTCAACAGAATTAGATGTCCGACACCTCCAGACAATTACTTATATCTTTAGGAAAACAGTAAAAGCTTAACACCACTACATGCATGTCATTTTGTTGTCTAAATTCAAGAGTAAGCGAAATTTCATAAACAACTCAGTTCCGAAATATTTTCACACCAGGCATACCAAAGTAACAAATTGCACTAAATAGCAAACAACTATACCTAAAAAAGTCCAGAAAAAAACAGCTGAACAAGCCTCTCATCGCATCTTCTCTCTTTTTTTTCTGCTTTTTTTCTTTTGTACCGTTAAGAGCAGGGAAAATTTAACACGAACTCGAAAAGCGAAATGCCCGGAAAAGAACAAACAGCGTCCTCGGTCGTTATGGGAGCACCAATGGACAACAGTCTTTCGCAGCGGGTCAACGCGGGCCGAAATGAGCTCGAGGCCGGTGGCGGCAGGGCGGGGGTGAGGGGCGGAGGCAAGGGGCGGCGGGCGGAGCGAAGGGCTCTTAAGGGCCCCTGGCGGAGGGCTGCGGAGAGCGGCGGAGGGCTGTCGGGCGGTCGGGAGGCCGATGGCTGGGCGGCGATGGCCCTCGTGTTAACACGCGAGGCAGTCGCGGGCCTCCGGGGCCCCCCGCGGGGGGCTGAGGACGCGGAGGAGGACGAGGACGGTCGAGTGCGGCGGAGGGCCCTCTCGGCGACAGATGCCCCGCCGAGGACGCCCCGCGGAGAGGACGGAAAGCGCGCCAGCTGCCGGGGCGGCAGGAAGGGCGAATGGCCGCGTCTCGGGGAAGTGCCATTGGTCGGGACCAACTAACGGGCTAACGCACGCTTCGTCGGAAGCTACCGGACTTGCTTTGAAACGAAATAATTAGCGCCCGAATTAATTTTGCTGCGCGCCATAAAGGCTCATTTTTGACGCGCTCCTGTGTGCAAAAGCATTGTTGGAGTTTTTTATTTTAAGTCGCACTTACAACAGAGGTTACTAGCGACTTCGTTGGTTACAGTATTAATACACTATTGATTGTAAGGATTTCTACCTCATTGTTGGAGTTATCTTCTAGCCTCTGTAATGTTTTCAATCTTTTATCTTGCTAAATTGTGTTGCTAGAGCTCTTCTGCCCTTCAAAATTTGATCTACAACTGTTTGGACATGAAATATTTTTTCCTGCTTACATTCAACAAATATTTATATAATGTATATTTTGAAAAAGTGTGACTTTCAGTTGTTTTGTCAAAGCCGTCCCAAGAGGTTTAGGAGTACAACATAATGAAGGAGCATTTCATTTGAATGTTGCTGTTAACCTTAACAACTATTTTTCCGGTTATGGGTGATCATTTTCTTTATAAATAAAGTTGTGTTAATGATTTATTGATATAACAATTGTATTGACATTGCTTTAATGCTAGATAGAATTGAGCCACTGCATAGAGCATAATTCCACCAGTCATCTGCTCTGATCGGTAGCTTTATCCTGATTCCCCCGATAAATACCGAGCAAATGCCGGAGTTGAACTGAAACAGAAGGCCCATGAACCAACGTGATCTTTCGTTCCTCAACCACGTTCTCTCTCCTTCTCCCCTCCCCCACACATCCATGCATCAAACAATCACACGTGTCAAAAGACCAGTAAAAGGTTGCTGTTTGTCTCCCCTCGGTGGTGTGCTGGTGGACATACCTGGAGATGAAAATCCCGTAAGCCGAGGTGTTGATCGGTGCCTGATCTCACTTTCAAGTAGAGGAGAAATTCCGACATTTCCCTCGATAAAACATGCTCATCTCTTAACATTACCACATCAGTTGACGAGACCGGAAACACTAAACAATCAATCAGCCAATCAATCAAATGGATGGAGGTGCAATCATTATCGACACAGTATAATCGCGAAGTAGAGAAGTGGAGGCCTGCAACTTTTATATCCCGGAGAACAGTATCCTTTCTCTTCACTCCAGATAACGAGATGTTTAATTACCCACTGCACGACGAATTGAGTTCGTATGCTTCTTTGCGGGTGCAGATGCACCCCTGGTTGTGCCTGTATTGTGTGTAAGAGTAAAAAGACTGCAAGGTCCCTACCGATCTATGCAAATCTGCGACTTTTATGGCCTCACAACTCCAAGGAATCACTTCAGCACTGTTCCACTCGTAGCGCTCAACAACGTTTTTCAGTTCTCCTTCTAGTTTCTAGTCAAATCAGCACGAGACAACATTCTCGTGTGCTGACTAACGTTTTCAGCTGTTACCGGTTGGATTTAGCACAGAGTCTGTATTGTCGCTGCTCTCGTAGTCACTCTCAATGTGAGAACGTAGGGTTTGAGTTACGGCGAATTTTCCATGCTAGAAACAATGCATGGTTGAATTTAAACAATGTCTGGAGGAGAATTCTAGCGTTCGGCTGCTCTGATCGGCAATTTTAATTTTTTTTCTTCGGCTATTACCAGATGTGTCCGGGGAAGTACCGGAATAAACAGGCAACGGTTGGCGCGTGGTCATTCCTTCCTCTTTGTTATTGTATACGCTCCCCTTACATACTCTTACACGTGTATGCTTTACACCACACGCTCCGAGATCTCCACCACACGTCGGGAGCGTAGAGCTTGTTCACGCTGGATTGGTGCTCCGCTGGAGAGGGGAGGGGAGTCCTCCGCGACCCAACGTGTAAGTCGGGCCTTGTTATTCAATAGGAGGGAGAGAAACACCGCCACGGAATCAATCATTCACTACCAGGGGACTAATGGCAAAAGCCGTTCACGTGCCCGGATACGTAAATGAATCAGTCGATGAGCGAAGAGCGCTCTGTTAGTGCATTTTGTCAGGGACCACACCGATAGGACGTGTCACTCAGCGCCAAGATTCCCTCGCACGTTCTATCCGCGAACTACCTTTGCCTACTCCCCCCACCACAGAATCACGAAACCATACGAGACAAAGGGAGGGAAGAGTATGGAATTATTCAAAATTAAATGCGTCAAACATTATTAGAAATTTAACTTTGTACGAGCCGGATCCCACGGCCACGTACAAGTGCCCGAGAGGCATACTGAAGTAGGCATAACGCTAATACTTTAATGAAAATGCTGTAAACACCAAAAGCACGCCGAAAGGCTATCGTCTTTTCTGGCCTCATTCATTTTCTATGTTACAGATCAGCCACAGATGACCGAAAGGATAGGGATGGTAACACAGCAAGGAAGTGTGACAGCATTGCACCTCGCGACCAGCAATGCTGCAAAGCGATGGGCAGGGTATGGGAAGGAAGGGGAGAGGTTTTTGATTCACTCGAGGCACGTCATCTGCTGTGACTATTATTCTTGTCAGTGTAGTGAATGTTTCATCGTGGGAGGTGTTTCTTCACCGAAGGATTAAGATATCCATAGCCAAAAGCACAACTGTCGGTTTGAAACGGTTTTACCCCACCAGGTAACTCCCACCAGCGAGGTACAGCCCCAGCCGGGAAAAGCTCTAAGCTCCTAACATGTGTGGTAGTGTAGTACGTGTATGTGTAAGTTAGGGGTAATGATAGAATAATGTGGTTCGTCAACGCTGAGGTGGTCCGTGATCCGTTTGTTAGGGTACTGCTCCGGCATTTGCCTGTTGTTGAGCGGAGAAACCATCAACCATAGCAGCCGGCCGCTATTCTACTCCAGACAGCGACTAAGTTCAACCTAGCTAACTGGCTCCTGTCACCGTCGAGACTCGCACAAGAAAACCTCCCGGTCAGAGGCCCTGGAGTTCTATCAGTTGATGTCCTGAGCCACCTTAGCCGGTCGCAGACTCGCATCGGTTTTCACGACTTATGTAGGATTGTGTGCGAGAAAACTGTTAGGTGATTGACGAAGTGCGGCGTGCGCAGTGACGGCAGGTTGGATGTATGCTTGGTTAGGTTGGTGTGTGGATGTGTGCTTGGTTAGATTGGAATGAGTGTAGGTGCTTGACTTGGTTGGTGTGTGTGTGTGTGCAGATTAGATTGGTGTGTGGGTGTGTGCTTGGTTAGGACGTTGTGGGTGTGTGTACTGGGTTAGGTTGGTGTGTGTGTGGGTGCTTAATTAGGTTAGGGGGTGGGTGGCACCTTGATTAGGTTGGTTGGTGTGTGTGTGTGGGTGCCTGCGTAGGTGGTGGTGTGTGAGGTGTGTTCTAAGCGGAACCGCAGCTGCTGGGTGGAGGATTGTGTGTGTGTGGGCGTGGGTGGGCGTGGATGGGCTGCCAAGTGGTCGGCGGTGCGGTGACTGCAGGGTGGACGTCAGTGTGGGGTGTGGGAGTGGGTGTGTGCGCGTGTGGGGGTTGTGAGCGAGGCATGCTTTAAGCGGAGGCTCGGCTGAAGGGTGCATGCGTAGATGGGGACTTGATTAAGTTGGCGTGTGTATGGATGATTGTTTAGGTATATGTGTGCCTGGGAAGGTGTTTTTGAATGTGTGTGTGTGTGTGTGTGTGTGTGTGTGTTGGAGTTATTGGCTGGACTTCGACGCGCGCTATCTGGGTGTGTGGGTGACTGTGCGTGGGCATGTGGTTAAGTTGCTCGGCGGCCGCAGCGTCTGGCAGGTGTAGACGCGCGCGGCGCGTTTGTGTGTTTTTTTTTTTTTTTGTGTGTGTGTGTGTGTGTGTTGTTTGTGTGTGTGTCTTCTGTGTGTGTGCGTTGCGTGGTGGGTGTCGGTGGGGCGTTGGGCGGCGCGCGCGCGGTCGTTGCGTGATGGATGGAGACGCCGTCGCCGCCCGCGACGTTGATGGATGTAATTGGACGGCGCGCGCGGGGGCGGCCGCGGCAATTGTATTCCTTTGGGCGCCGCCGCCGCCTCCCACGCGGCGCCGCTCGGAGATGAATTCCAACGGCGACGTAAGGCTCTGCGCCTGTACAATTCTGCATACGTGCGTTATTACACTTCTTGCACAGCACGATGCACCGCTATACCCTATTCGATGCAGATCCACCCTTTAGCCCCTGTGCATGCCGCACACTCCAACTTTACGTTACCGTTACTTTCAAACGGCTACGTCCTCACAATTTTGTTGTGTACCGTAGACTGTATTTCTTGATTCGTGGCCTGTACGAAACAAGTCACATTATTAGGATTAATGAGCTTTGTGCTAAAGCAACCAGCAGATTTTCTGTATTCCTATGATGTAATATCAAGTAAGTCTCCGTCTATAGTCGAACATACGTAAATCAAGACGGTGTTTCTCATTGTAATTTGGCGTTAGCAGTACACACTGCCTCCCCAGTTCCAAAAATCTCTTATTAATCATAGTGTTGAAACGTTGTGGAAAAAGATTACACTTCAAACAATACCCCTAACGTAGAGCGCATGAATAGTATAATGTAGCAAAATTCCAATACTGCAGTAAGACTCGAATTACACGTTTTTCTTTTGTCGGATTTGGAGTTTTAACAAACGAGCGCATGCGCAGATGGCTTCTGGAGTGGTAGAGCTGCTTCTGCGCCCGTGCTCGTACGCCAAAATTTCGAAATAGGTTGTCGAAAGGCAGCATTCATTCGGGTCTAAAATTGTTTAATGCGCGTCTTTAGATTGCTGCAATAATGTCGCGGCGCATTCGCGCGTGACGATAATCGAGTGCGATGTGCAGCGAAAAGTCTTCGTAAGATAATCACTTAATGAGCTAATACGTTACTCCCGACAGCGTCCAAACCACCGGTTGATCCTGCTGAATTCAGCTCCGCGCCAACGTTACCGCAGCTTTTGCAGCGGCTCAGACCGAGAGGACTTAGCTTGCTCCAGCCGTGACAAGATCTAAGCTCTCGACTTGTCTGCCGGCATGTGTGGTAATTAAGCGCACGTAAGTGTGTGTCAGGATAGGATAGGGAAGACGAAAGAAAATTCGTGCGCTGTCCGTTTCATAGGGTAATATTCCAGCATTCGCTTATTTTAATTGGAGGAACCACGAAAAAAATACCGACTAGAGAATCCGACCCCACTAGAATTGTCCTCCAGACAACGGATGAATTCAACACACAATACCTAGTTATCTAGCTAATGCTGAAAATCATGCTACCGTCGGGACTCGAACCCTGGTATTTCCTAGTCGGAGGCACTGCTGTGACAGCAATAGATGCCCTGAGCCACTTAAGACGATCATGTACGGACAGAAAAATAAATAGTTTGGAATTGATTATAAGAGATATTAAACATTTACTGTAAAACCTCGCTAATCTGTTACGTGCTGGACGGGGAGGATATTGGGAACGCAAGGAAAGTCGTATTATCAGAAGAAAATAAAATATGTAATGGTCAATTTTAAATAAGTATTATGTGCAAATAAGTCTAATATACAATAAAGAAAGAATTTGTTGATAAAAAAATCGCTGATTTTTGTTTTCAAAAGACGTTTGTATAGCCAAACAACAAAATCCCTGACACATACATATACATCTTGAGTCACATACATGCAACAAAACAACATACCAATCAACAATCATAAGTCAAAAATAGTCGGCCGGCGATCATGTCGGTGCTTGCGTGGTCTCAACTAATCGGGGTCGGATCAACCTAGTTGTCCGATTAACCGAAGGCGCACAGTAGAGGTTGACTAGGTTATAATGAGCACCATCTCATTACAAAATACTTTTAAATTCTGCTTTGTGATTTTTTTCCTCCTTCAAACTCTCTGCTTCGGATGCCGACGACGGCCCATAAACGAAATTAGTAAGCCACGCCCTGGCTGGAGGGCTGACTGTCACCAAGGCAAGGTGCCACCCTCAGCAGAAGTCTTTCGTACGACCTTGCCGCTTTTATGCCATTCAATTCACCTCCCCCGCTGGCGCGCGCTCTAATTCTCGAATGGCTCACCTGAATTCGATTTTCCCGCTGCCGCTCTCTCTCCCAATCCAATCGCTTGCTTTACGGCGCTCTTTGACGTTCCCGCGCTCGAGCCCGGGCCTCGCAGCGCAGAGCGGAGCCGCACTCGGGGGTTGGTCGCCGCCCTACACGCGAAATCGTAAAGGAGGTTACGGAAGTGCATTCGCCAAGTCCCTCTAAAACGTCCATTGAGGAAATTGGATTGTCCTTATACATCCACGGTCTTGATAGACACACGTTGCAGGATGATAGTTTAGTTACTTTGAGTTGAAAACACCCGAGTTTTAGTTATGGATTTTTCTGTGAAATTTTTGAATTTTTTTAATGTTGGATAGTCAGTTGTTTTGAAAACTGTACTACTAAGGCTAAGATCTTCTAGAATGTATATTGATAAAATGTAATCGTCTTAATTCCTTGAGGGTAAAATCGGTAGAGGTGGCTCAGGGTATCAACTGATGCCACGGCAGTGTCTCTGACCGCGAAGTCCTAGGTATGAGTCCCGACGGTCGAAGGATTTTCGTCACTACCTACATACGTAAGACGAATTCAGTCGCTGTCCGGAGAAGAATTATAGCGGTCGGCGACTCTGATCGGTAGTTTCCCGTGATTTTCCGATCAAAATCAGTCGAATGATGGAGCAGTACCCTAATAAACCGGCCACCGCGCGCGATCTTTCCTTCTTCTTCCTTGTCCTCCCTTCACCACTTACTTACACCCATTTACACTTACATACACTACACTACTACACATGTCTGGAGACTAGTCGGGAGATTACAGCGTGTCCCGGTTGGGGCGGTGCCCCGCTAGTGGAAATACACGGTTGGGGAAAACCTCGTTAGCGGACGTAGGTCGGCACAAATTCTCGCCATCCATCGGGAGATTACCACTATCTCCCGAGGAAAACATGCACTACACTAACGGGACTAATGACCTTGAGTGCAGTATACGCGCCCGGAAACGCTATAAAACCATCAATGATATTGATGGGCAAATATCGGAAGATGATAATCCAATTTCTTTGAATTGAAAATCACAAGGTTTCTTGGTACTTTTGTTATGTTCCTTGGAAAAAATCATATAAATTTTGTTTTAAGATCTTTGCAGCGCTTGTTAATTGACAACCGCTTGCTTTACGGCGCTGTTCGTCCTGCCCGCTCTCAGTTCCGCTCTTGGGCTTCAGCTAATGCTGCGCCTTGGGGGGGGGGGGGTCGTTGCGCTAGAGACGAAATCGTTAAGAAGCACAAAGTGCATTCGCGAAGTCTCTCTAAAACGTCCATTGAGGAAATTGGATTGTCGTAATACGCCGACATTCTTGATAGATACACGTTGAAAAATGAAGTTGAGTTCCTTTGGTCTGAAAAACCCTGTTGGAGTTCTTAGTCGAATTGAAAAATGTGTCAAAATTTATATTAAGATATGCCATATCACACATATCCCGTAGGTTTAGTGCATTCTTTTATGTCATTTTATATCTCTCGCTGGTCTCCCATCATGTTCGTCCTTGTAAGTGAAAGTCTGTGTAAATAAAGGTGCGGATACGAGTAGGAAGAGAAAGGAAAAAACGCGCGAAATCCGTGGACCATTTGCTAGGGTTACTATTCCACAATTCGCCTGGTATTTATCAGACACATCGCCGAAAACTACCGATCAAAGCAGCCGACCTCTAGAATTATTCACCAGGCAGCGATTGAATCGATCTAGCTAGTGTTGAAAAACCTGCCACCGTCTGACCTACTCTCACCTTAGGACCTCCCAATTAGAGACACTTCAGTGAAGTCAGTTGTTGCCCTGAGCCATCACAGCCGGTAGGAGAGTGGGGCGGGGCCGGGGAGATAAAGGAGCGGCGGGAACTTGGGGGAGGGGGGAGAGGGAGATGACGGAGGGGTGGCAGTGAAATGGCAGAGGGGGCGATAAAGTGGCAGAGAAAGTGGGAATGCTGGGGAGCAAGTGGTGATGCTGTTGAGCAAGTGGTGATGCT